ACATGTAATTTTAACTGGATATGTAGTTTTAACCTTTTAAACCGGGAATGTAGTTTATATTACATAATTTAATTAAAATTAAATTTAGTTAAAAATGTAACCAAACATGTTTTCTCAGTTAGCATGAGTCAACATTTTTAATGAAATTCCACATGCCGAAAATAAAATGTAAAAATATGATATATATTCGGAATATTCATTTGCAGAGACATAACTTTGTACTCTGTAGCAAGAGACACTAGCCCTCAAAATGCAATAATACAGAATAATTTGTTATTAAATAACGAAAATGTTAATAAAAAAATTTAATAAATTTAATAAATTTTTATTAAAATTTTTTACAAAAATTTTTTTATTAATTTCTTTAGAAAGATTATTTTTATTTTGAAAATCACAGAAATAATAATATTTTTTTTAATTTGCATCTCAATCTTATTTAAATAATAAAACAACGTTTTTTTAACATACCTGTAATAATTATTAAAGTATATATATGATACAAAAATTTCAAAATTTTATTTTTTAAAAATAATAGCAAATGTAAAGATTATGCGTTTCGCGGGTTTTCTCTGTGTCCAGATCTATTCTTGGAATGCTAAGGACATTCCAAGATAATCTTTATATAGAAAGCCGTGGAAGCCTCAAGAATATTATCAAATAGCAAATGATTAATTTTTCTTTAAAATTTGTTTGTAAAACTAAAATTATCTTTATATTCTTAAATAAATATTTAATAATAATTTTTTCGTCTATATTTCCCAGACAGCACACAACATCCATTGAACGTCCAAATCTGATTTTTATTCGAACGTCCATGGACTTAATATGAATGTTTTAAAAACGTACGTTATTCAACGTATAAAGTATGTTCACATTTGGACATTTTAAAAATGTTCATCTTATGCAAAAAATTTTCTAAATCTGCTCGCAACTTGTTGTTTTTGTTGATGAGTGCTTGACAAGTGAAAATTTTTTTAAGAGGAATTTCATTTTTGTTAATATGTACGAGCGTCTTTTGAACGTCCCATGGACGTTCTTAGGATATCTGTGATGTATTGAAAATTTTCAACGATAAAAAATCTATTCAGATAATCAAACAAGCAATATCCCATGATATCCGCACAAAATACCACTACCGTACTGTCACGAGATGGTGGCATAACTGTACGATAGCAGCATAAAAAGAATACATGATATTATAGTACAGCGTATCAACACTGTACCTGTACTGCATATTGTTTAGGTACATCATGGTACATAATCCGTACCGTATCAATACAGCGTACTATTATTGACAGGAGAGAGACTGTGGAGATCTCTAATCGAAGACGATATACATGGTATTGTAAAAGTACGTGATTTCCTAACCTGAAAATAATTGTTATAGCATTAAGATTAAATATTAGACAGTAACTGATTGGAACTTGAGCAACTGAGATTGGATGTTCAATTGAACTGCACAAATTTGATCTATCAGGACTATATATTAAACAGATGTATGATAACTATACATCCATAATTGTATATGTGTTCGTTCATCATCGAAGCGTAGCGGTTCTCATGTTTCCATACAATTTCAAAAATCAAGGATAATGGATGACGGTATGCAACTGGATGGGTGACCATTTCGAAACACTATAAAAAATTGGTTCCCGAATTCAAGAAAAAACATTTTTTTTTATCATAACTTTATGATGTGTATTCTCGAATAAAATATTAATCAATAATAATACTCATACAAGAATTATTTTGTTTTGATTGTGGTCAAAATTTGTTTAAAATATCAATTTAGTCCAGTTTTTTAATCCATTGCGATTTAAAATGGACGTTTTTAAGAAGTCCAAAATGATAACACTAGATGTTTTTAAAACGTTTTTAAAATATTCATGGATCTAATCTGGATGTTTCTAATATGTCCAAAATGTACAATATGTACATTTTAAATGTATCTTTAAAACGTTACTGAGCTTTCTGGATTCTAACATTTAAGTATAAGTTTGACTACAGCATAATTAATAATTATAAATTTTATTAAAATTTGTATAAACTTTAAATACAAAAGAAAGTGTTAATGTCCCAATTTCCATTTCTCAGTTCAATCAAAAATAATATCTCAAATAAAACAATATCTCAAATAAACAATTTTATCTTCATTTACTTTCTAAAGTTTTTTCTTAGAACTTATAACTTATTAATAAATATTTTTCACAAATAATCAATTATCAATTTAATTTATAATTTTAGATATAACGACTATCTCTCTCTTTTCGGTATTTATATGTATAGACCCAAATATAATTCACACGTGATTTTAGATACTCTAAAAGTTTTAGACTCCTCCAAACTGTTGACCAACCTTACAGTTAAGTATACTTGGAAAATATCTCTTAGGCTGTCGAATATGATAAGTTTTCTTGAAGTATCTATTTTTAAGGAAAACACAAGGCCGATTTACTTTATCATATATAATCGTCTGTCATGAAAATTGTGTATTGATAAATGCTGCTTGATTATTACATGCATAATTTCACGTAAAAGATTTGATATTTAACAATATTAGATATTAAATCTCATCTGACTGTCAATAGAAATAAATGCCTTTAAGCCGGTCTAGCTAGATCTTAAGTGCTTGTGTAATTCTGTGTGAGTTCACGAGTTAAAATTGAGCAATTTAGCAATTTAATAATCTTATACTTCTTTGTATCTTAAAACTTAATATAATGCTAAATAACATACATATTAAAATTTACAAAAGTAGAAATTAATTCTTGTTACGAAAAATATTACTTCGAGAATCAAATTTGAATCTTTATTAGCATTCCATGCGAATATCCTAAGCCTTTAAACCAAGGCCTTAATCATATTATTCTCAATAATACTCGTGCGTTTAGTAGAGTTTACTATTTCAAGGAAAAATCATTTCGACACGCAGTTTAAAAGACTACATAGTATGTATATAAATTCACAAAATTATACAAGCACTTAAGATTCAGCTAGAGAGTAAGATCGTTAAAGATATTTACTGATATTTTAATTTAAACACAATAATATATAATATTTTATTTATGTTCTTTTACACAAATATCGTATTTTTTGCATCTCTTATGTTTAATAATAATAAGATAGAATAATTTATAAATTTAACATTTACTTATTTATTGTACTTATTTTTTGTACTTGTGAATATAATTACAAATAAAGAATTAATCTTTATTTTAATTGATATTTTATGATATATGTATGTTATATGCAGTATCTATGCGTGCAATTAGTATTAAATACTAAACAAAACATTGTTATTGAAGACTTTTTAATCAATGTTTGTGATTAGACAAATTTTAAAAGTTTATACTTAAACTACTGTACAGAACAAAATAGCTTTCAAATATAAACAATAACGTAGTTTTAACAAGCAAAGATTGTTCAAAAAAATATACAATTTATTAATAAATTACAAAACAAACATTTCGACTTATAATACCCACACACACACACAATTAGTTTTCATTAATACTATATATGATACTAAAAGCATAATCAATCTTCCAATCCTTTATCATATAACTCATTATGTTGCTTCTTTTTATAAAAATTATTTAAATGATTGCTGTTATTAACAATAAAAAGTAAATTCAATTTGATATATATAGTTTTCCTTTTCAAAAAACGGTGAGATGTTTCATCCATTCATTCTTATCGCAGAGTCTTATAAAATCTTAATATTCGAATTGTCAAATTGATGTTAATATAGTCCCATAATAAAAAACAGCAACAATCAATATAAAATTCCTTCCACATTTATCTTTCAACATTTTTCCTAATGTATTCTGTAATTTACGTCGTCCATAATTATTAAATTACGTCAGCAGTTCTTTAAGATTAAAATTATTTCAAACAAAACTTATGTTAACAAAATAATAAATCCCAGGGATTAGAATCGTGTATGTGAGAAACACAACCTATAAGAAATAAATGCCTTAAACGGTCCAGACTTAAGTTTTTGTATAATTCTGTGTGAATTTATATACTACATATATAATCTTTTAAAATGCACGCTGAAATAATTTTTGGCATGATAATATTTTTCGCAATAAGAATTAATTATTTACAAATTTTAATGTATCATTCAGCATTATTAAGGTTGTCATTTTAAAATATGTAAAGAGCATCAATTGTTAAATTGCTCAATCAATAACTTATGATATTACTGCAGCAGTGGAGTTTAGTAAAGTTTGCATTTCAAAATCGAAAAATCATTTCGGCGCGCATTTTCAAAGGATTACATACCTAACATATAAATTCACACAGAATTTTACAAGCACTTAAGATCCAATTAGACCGTTTAAGGCATTTATTTCCTATAAAACTTAATTTATATAAGATATCCATTCATTTCTTACTAACCGTGCATCATTTTATAATAAAAATAGCTTCCACTTTATTACTTAACTTTTCACGAAATTTTACTGCAATAATATTACCTTTAAATTTCGACACCTTTTGTAAACAACAGCCCATAAGAAATAAAACCAGTTAAGCAATAAAAATTAATGTTAGCTAATTCTAAGTTGTAGAAATAAGTAACAAGCTTTCAAAAAAACATATAAGTTATTTAAAAATTGATAAAAATATTTTTATTATATATCTAATTTAATAGTGTATTACGTAATTAATATATGTAATTTAATAATATATAACATGTTTTAATTAATTATTTTTAAAATGTATACAGTATA